CACTCCGTTGGTGGACGTCGTCCTTCCGGACAGCCAATACACCGAACCGTTTTCTGTAAACGTCGAGGCGTCGCTCTGCGTGGAGTCAACCACCACGTTAGATATGCGCCCTCATTTTTGAATTATTTCTCATCATGGACGTTTGACGTTCTACAAAAAGTGCACATGCATTTGCTTACATTTTAATTACCGTCAAAACGTCCTGCGCCATAAAACGACGACAAATCGAGGCCTCAGGGTATTTTTCTGTGGTTGTGCATCTGGTATTGCTGTGTGGTGACTTTTCGTCCCAACGACTAATCGATTTTTTACCCTAACCCAAGCTTCATTGTGGGGTTGAATTACATTTTTAATTTTTGTTTTAGATTTGTTAATCCTGTTTGGCTAACTCTGTCAGCGATGTCACGCGTGTTTGTCGTAAGCCGAATACCATTCTCTTTTCCTAGTGTATTATATAAATTTCTCTGACAGACAATTTACCAGAAGGTAATTCGAAAATGTTTAAATTGATTGGGGGTCCTTTGTCTTAACGAGCCCAGTGAGGGTCTTTTTTGCCAAATCCACCCCCGAATAGATAAAAGATGCATTTTGTCCCTACTGGATTTTATCTTGTTCCCAATACTACCCCTGGGTTATTTGCGTAACTATTCCTAAAGATGTTTGAATATGGAATGAAGTCCGTCGTGCCAAGACGCATTATATTCAGCCATCAGCAAACTAAGTTTTTGCTCAGACATGTAAGTTTAAGAGTTTAATATATTTAGATGGCTAAAAGGTCTCTTCAAAACGTTGGTGCTCGTTTAGAGAAACCGAATTGTAATATTCTGAAACAGAACGATATATGCGAGCTACCGTGGTCTCGATAAGTCAGAACAATGTAAAGGAGGTCGAGTAGACCACGAGTACTATGTCCGGAAGTCGTCGTATGTTAAAAATGTTTCCTCCGAAAGACCTTGATAACATTTCTGGCCTTTTGACCAAATGTTGATTATGGGATGACGATCCGCGCACTGTGGATTAAAGATATTGACCACGAAAACATGCAACACAGCAAATAAAAGTGAGTATGGTCTCTAAGGATTAAATGACTACTGGTACCTTTTTGTTCCTTAAATCATAAATTTGAGCAAGTCCCCCTTTTGCGATTGCTTACCTCCAGCTTCGAACGTATTTCCTTATTCGCAATCCTTCCGCCTTGATCGACCGTTAAATTAAAGTCGGATGCGAATTTACTGTAGACTGCTTCCGAACACATTAAACATATTATCGTTTTCTGTTGAGTGTAAATATGCATGCTTACTGTGTCCGTACCCCTTCAAACATACACAGTGCACAACATCTTCCGCCAATTTTAA